ATAATCGGGATGGGAGTGTCAGAGACAGTGCGATTGGCACAGGACAGAGTAGAGTTTAGGGCTGTTGTACATAGGGTCGCTATGAGTCAAAAGTGACTCGATGGCACATAACAACAACAACAGGAATTGGGAGTTTCCAGGAGGTCAAAATAGAACTTGGGAGACTAATTTGTATTGGAAGCATCAAGATAGACAGTGAAGAGATTGAAATGGTTAACACTTTAATTTGCTTGGCTTCACTGTCAATACTCTTGGTACAAGCAGCCAGGAAATCAAAAGACAAATTGCAATGGGAAACTCTGCTGTCCGGGACATCTCAGGTTACTGAAGAGCAGCAATGTCAAGCTGGAGACTAAGGTGTACCTGATCCAGGCCATGGTCTTTGTACTTACTTGTTATGCATCAGAAAGCTGAACAATGACTAGGGATAATAGGAGGACAGTTGATGCCTTTGAGCTGTGGTGCTGGAAAAGAGTATTGAATATACCATGGACTACTAAGAAAACAGACAGATTCATCCTAGAGAGGGTGAAACCCGTTACTCCTTGGAGGCAAGGATTCTGAAGCTTCGTCTGACATACTTTGGGCATGATCCAAGGAGAACCCAGTCCTTGGAGAAGTACGTCATTGTTGGGAGGGTAGAGGGACAGTGCAGGAGAGGAAGACCCTGGATGAGATGGATTTACTCAGTGACTGGGGTACTGACGGTAGGTGTGTCAGAGACAATAAGGTTGGTATAAGACAGAGCAAGACTCAGAGCTACTGTACATAGGGGTGCTATGAGTCAATGGCACATATCAACAACATGTGTGATGGTGAGCTCAGCATCTCAAGGGGAGCCGTTATGTTATCCACCCTGCTGTATAGATCAAAACGGGATTTTTTCTCATGACAAACATAATAAGAATTGTCTAGCACTAAGGGCTAGGAGGAGTGTCCTTCAACTCTAGTAATCACACATGAAGCAGCAATAAAATCCTTATTATATCTGCTGGAATCTAAGTTGGAAGTTGTCTGCAGCAGCTGGACTACAGAGATTTGTTTGCTGGTTCTGGTGAGGATTAGGGTGGAATGGTTAGTTGCCAATGAATGTGAGTTGATTTGTTTCTGCCTTCTACTTAAAAGCACATTTGGTTTCAACTCGTTTTGGTCAAACATTCTTCTAAGTGGTATAGCACTGGTCTGTCCATTTGCTGTACAGAGGTAACTCATGGTTGCTGTGATGCTGAACACTGTGACACTGATGTGTCAAATGTGATAATGGTTACCCATGGTGGACAGTGTTTGGTGGAGCTTCCCAATTAAAACAAGCTTGGAAACAGGAGTGACATTCACTTCCAAAATAGCTTGCCTCCGGAAACTCTATGAACGTGGAGAAATGATGAAAGTGTTCAGGTCTTTCGTTCATAGGGTCGCTATGAGTTGTATAGGACTTGATGGCACTTAACAACAACATGACCTATTCAGCAAATTCACAGAGACATTCATGCTGTCAATCTTGAATTTCACCTGCCTTGCTTGCAAAGTTCCTTTATTATGCAAATATAGCATTAATACCTTAAAAGCAAATAGTCCCTTAAAAACAAAGCTTATAGTCTACTTCATTTACGATGTCCTATCAAAGTGTACTGGATGACTTTATCTCTTTCTCTATCCCCTTTTGTAACACCTATTGTGCATGTTCCCCTTCTGTGTTATGTGAATGAAGACATGAAGCTGAGATCTCTTATTTAATAAGCCAAAAACCCAAATATATGAACACTCCCTTTTTTCCACTTCAGTCGGAAATAAGATGTTTTCTGAGACAGTAAACACTACAGGAGGGGATTGCCTATCTTTCTCCCACAAGGGAGCTGGTGGATTCTAAAACCTTTGGGTTGGCAGAGTAACTGCTTACCACTAAGCTACCAGAGGTTCCCTAACAAGGACATTTATAAGAATATTGTAGTTGTCATGTGCTGTCGAGTCACTTGCCATTCATAGCAACCCTATCTACAACAGATCTGAACCCTCCTCTATCTTGAGCCAACCTCATTGTTTCTGACACACTACCCCATTACTCTAGCCACTGAGTCAATCCATCCCATCCAGGATCTTTTTCTCTTGTTCTGTCCCTCCACCATTCATTCCAAGTATGTCCATCTCCAACGACTGGTCGCTTCTTGCAACATGCCCAAAATATATCAGATGGAGCTTCAGAATCTTTGCCTCCAAGGAGCAGCCTCATTTCACCCTCTTCAGAATGAACCTGTTTGTTTTCCTAGCAGTCCATGGTATATTCAATACTCTTCTCCAGCACCACTGCTCAAATGCACCAGTTCTCCTTCTATCATCCCTAGTAATTGTCCCTGATGCATAGCAAGTAATTGAAAAGACTATGGCCTGGATCAGGCACATCTTAGTCTCCAGATTGCCATCACTGCTCTTCAGTACTTTGGAAAGGTCCCTGACAGGAAACATTCCCAGTGCAATTCATCCTTTGATTTCCTGGCTGCTAGCACCAAGAGTGTTGGTTGTGGATTCAAACAAACGGAAGCTGTTAACAATCTCAGTCCCTCCACTGTCATGATGCTGCCAGTCGCAGTGGTGGAAAATCTTTGTTTTCTTGATGTTGAGCTTCATAAACACATGTAAAATGAGTTCAGTTACATTGAGGAAGAGTGAAGAGCTGCTGCTAGAGAATATGAGAGAGGACCTTTTGCAATGAGATAAAAACCAGTTGTGCCCATTGATTTTCCTCTCTTTCCCCTCTTCTGATCCTCTCCTCTTTCATTTCTTCTCCTCCCCTTTTCCTTTTCACCTTTCCCCTTTTGAACATATATACATACCTTGCTCAGTTATCCTCCTATTTTCATAATATGCAGGTCTTATACAGTATTTGTCCTCACATGACTGACTTATTCACTCAGCCTAATACTCTCTAGACTTTTCCATGTTACAGAGTATTTTACAAAATCTCTGTTCCTTAGTGCTGCATAGTATTATTCCATTGTGTGAATGAACCACAATTTCTCAATCCATTTGTTTAGAGAGTAGGAGAGTGAAGGAATAGGAAAAGTTCAATGGGGACTTGAAAAGATGGAGTGATAATTGGCATAGTAATTACTGATATAAAATACAATATATATGAACGATTATATAAAATACAATATACATGAATGAAACACAATGCATAAGAATGATGGCATGCAAACCAATAAAAAGCATTTTTATAGACCAATCGATTGCATGTTGAACCCTTCTGACTCCCTGTACAGATGAAAATGTCTGTTTTTAGGGGTTTCAAGAAAGACTTTGAGCCCGAACTTTCTATCGAAGTTTTCTCTGGACAAGTCCACCAACATTTCTGTTAACAGTCTGGTGCTTAATTTCTTGCACGAACCTGAAAAAAAGAACTGTGTTGTCAGGGCCAATGTATACTTGAAATATTTGGAGCAAATCAAAACACAAACAGCGAAAAGCAGCTCCCCTTAACAAATCAAGTCTTAAATGTCACGACTGGATATTTAGGAAAGAAAACACAATCAATATTACAAGTACAGATTCAAAAGCCAGTTAAAGGTGGGGTAAGAGGTGGGGAGTGGGAGCACAAATTAACTACAAAACCCTTTTCTAGTTTGGCGTTCCAGAGCATGGAAGCTGCATGATAATTTGTCTTTGATTTAGGCTGGATGGTTAAAAAATTAAGAACTATGACACATAAACAGACTCATGAATGCATTTCTGGCCTAGGATTACCCTCCCCAGGAGCTAGCTTTAGCTGACGCTGTCCAGGCTTTGCCTAGGGGGAAAGATTGCAGCGCGGTGAGAAGGCGCGGGAGGAGTTGTAGCTGTGATTGATGGGAAGGGGGCAAAGGAATAAAAAGTGCTTGTCTGGGGACAGCAGATGCCCCAAGCGAGAGCGAGCGAGCAGTGGAGACTACACTCAGGCGTTCTTCTCAGCGGTTCGTCAGTCAGACCCGCCTGCAGCTGAAGGTGGGCGTGCTCTTTCTGCTCCAGGAGCAGCTGAAACCAAACTGAACAGAGCGCCGCGCGCCTCTGCAGCCGCTCCAAGACCGCCACGCTCCGCTTCCCGGCCAGGTCCTCTTCGTCTCTCGCGCCTCGTGGGTTCCATCCCAAAGGTAAACCTTCCAGCCTACTTTCTAGTAAAGTCAGGGGCTGAACCTTGTCTTGGAGTTTCCACTTGGATAATTAGGTTGGAAATTGTGTTTGTGAGTGGGAGTGCGCTCGCGCGCGCGTAATGAAAAGCTTAAGTACAGAAAGTTAAGCTGGGGTAAGAGAGAGGACGTGCGTGTTTGAAATTACTTGGAGGAGTAGTATTCATTCTAATAGTTGATATTCTCCCCAATCGAACTGAGTTGAGAAGTCAGATTTTTCTTTCCCCCTGCTGGTGCACACTCCCGGGAGCCACCAAACAGCCCGGGAGCGGCGGCTTTCATCCTGGGACAGTGAGTTCAGACCCAGGGTATTAGAATGCCCTTGGGAGCATAGTGAATATTAGCGTATGTTTTGCGACATGAGTGCCTATTTCCTCTTTCCTCATGTACCCTTGGCTGTAATGTTTAAGTAATAGCTCCCTTCCCGGTTCATCGCGAAGTTCAGATCTTTGCCTCAAATACTCTTTAAGATGAGTCCAAATGTCCTGTCATGCCTGCCTTGTCATGCCTTATGCGATTTACTCAAATCCAGCAGAGAAGGAAAGAAAACTGCTAGGGGAGTCGGGGAGAAAAGTTCAAGCCGATGGATCTGTGTGCGCCTGCCAGTTTTTCACCGGCTCTCAAACTTGAGCTACTTTTGCGCGCGGGCGTTGATGGTGAAGTGCGTTCTGGGCTGGCGGTTCGCAGAGAGATGGCTGACTCCAGTGTCTCCTCTTCCTTCTCCCGTAGGTCTCCAGGTTCTGAATGCCGAGGGGCGGCCAACAGACGCACACCCCCACAGTCAGCGGCATGCAGTCGCCCCCAAGCCTGTGCGGTCGCGCCTTGGTGGCGCTGCTGCTTCTTGCAGGCTTCGTAGGTGTCTGGGGAGAGGAAAGGGCCTTCCCGCCGCCTGGGGCCACTCCATCAATTTCAGGGATGGGAGAGATCATGACGCCTTCCTCTAGGACCTCTTGGACAAGAGGATCTAACGCCAGCCTGCCCAGGTCCTTAGCACCTCCGCAAGCACCTACAGGTGGGAAGACGATGGGGTACAGGCAGAGAAATTTCTCTCCTCCCCCTTGCCAAGCACCTACCGAGATCAAGGTCACTTTCAAGTACATCAACACTGTAGTGTCCTGCATCGTATTTCTGTTGGGCATTATCGGGAACTCCACTCTCCTGAGAATTATCTACAAGAACAAGTGTATGCGCAATGGGCCCAACATCTTGATCGCCAGCCTAGCTTTAGGGGATTTGCTGCACATCATCATTGACATCCCCATCACTGTCTACAAGGTAAGGAGTACGGGCTAATACTTGCGTTGAATACAAGAAGCACTAGGTGCGCTGGGGAAGATAGGAGAGCCTCAGAACTAAGCTTACTCGAGAAGCTCCATCCCCTTCAGTAATCATAGGAACTGAATTCTGTCTAGTCTTCAGTGTCCCTGTATGCCATAGAGTCGACCGCAGTTCATAGTGACCCTGTGAACCACAGATCTGAACCCAGTCCTATCCTGTGCTATCCTGCCCATCTCCAGTATACTGGAGTCCATTGTTACAGAGACCATGTCAGTCCATCTTTTTGAGAGTCTTCCCCCGCTATGCTGATCCTGTACCATTCCAAATATGATGACCTTCTCCAAGAACCAGTCTCTTCTAACAACATGCCCAAAGTACATAAGTTGAAGCTTCACCAACCTTGCCTCTAAAGTAACTTCTAGTTGCACTTAGTCCAAGACATACTAGTTTGTTCTTTTGAGAGTCCGTGGGATATTCAGGATTCTTCTCTAATACCATTCAAAGGTATTGATTATTTTTGTGTCACCCTTAGTCATTATTCAATTTTCAGATGCGTAGCAAGTAATCAGAAGGACTATGTCTTGGATCAAGTTCACCTTTGTCTCTAAATTGACATCCTTGCACTTCAGCACTTTGGAGAGGTAATCCCTTGCTAAGCCCAGAACAAAACAGTTGCCCACGGAGTTGAGTCAGCTTCATAGTAATCCATAATACTCCAGAAAGTTCTCACTAATTGATTTTTTTGGAAGTGAGTGACCAGGCCTTACTGGCACCTTCAGGAATAACCATGCTTACATCACCCAGCAATTCTAGACATAGAACAGGGCTTCTTCTCAAAGCATGGTCCTCAGACTAACAACATCAGCATCATTTGAGAACTTGTTAAGAAAAAATCCCCTCATCAGTGTCTAGTTGGAATCCATTCCTAGCTGACCCTCCAGTGTGTTTTCAGAGACTGTAAATTGCACAGGAGGTGATTGCCCTCTGTCTCCCACAGAGCAGCTGATGGCTTCAAACCACCTGCCTTTGAATTGGCAGTACAATATCTTACACAGAGTCCACCTATTCAGTAAGAAATTCTGGAGGGAAGCCCAGTAGTCTGTATGCTAGCAAACATGCCAGGTGAATGTGATGAATTGTGAAGCTTGAGGACTACTGGTCCAGAAGAACATATTACCTATGCCAAGCTAACTCTCTCCATCACTTCTACCCAGTATCCACATCATCTGAGAGCCTGTTAGAAATGCAAGTTCATCACAGACTTACTAAATCCAATTCTGCAAGTTAAGATAAGCACACTAAGTTAAGATATACACACTAACTTTTGGAAGCACTGTGCTAGAGCACACTGAAGGAAGGAAGCCTGGAGTAGGTTTTTAGAAAATAAATAGAACAGAAGAAAGAGGAGGCAGACTAGTGAGTAGGGGAACTGTAGCTGTCCTGCTGTGAGTAACTGTAGTTAATCTTCATTGAGTGCCTGCAGCAGACCACACACTCTGGATAAATGTGTTGCTTCCTTTCACAACCTCTATGTAGGTGTATTACCCCTCTTTAAAAGATGGCTAATAGGATACTCAGAGTTTTACTACTGCTCAGAGGCAGAGGCAGCAACCAGGCACCAACTGTCAGGTCCCGTCAGACCACATATCCTGTCAGTAATTCAGTAGATGAGACCAAGAAACTCCACTTGAAGTCTGTGTAGCAGTTTCAATAGTTAGCATGGCTTTGTGATTACCATGGGCAACAGACAAAGACCGGCTCACTATTCAGCTCCAAGTCACTTTGAAAATCTGGACATATCCCAAGGTCTCTGTGTTTCAGTTTCTTCGACTCTACAATAAGACTGCTAGTGCCCACCCACTGAGGTTGTATGGGAATGAAGCAAAATAGCCCAAGTAAAAGGGCTGGGAAATTCTAAAGGGCTATAGAAATGTGCAAAACTCTACTTGCACAGCACTAGTAACAATGGAATGCCTCGGATGAAATACAGGTGAAGTATACAGGAGTGTGAATGTGCTTTATGGAATTGTCCAAGGTCAACCTTGGACTCAGTACAAATGAAAACAAGGGGTGGGAGACTAGGAAAGATTGAAGGAACGTATTAATCCTAGAAGCAAGACCAGTTACCATAACTACCATTCCTATAAATCACCCTTCATGATTCTCTGGAAATTCTAATAGGCATGTTTGCAGAGAATTGTGGAAATTTCTTAAATTTCAAGATTAGATGAAGATCTAGACCTGAGGGGGAGCTACAAAGCTGATCAAATCCTTAAATCTCAGATGGTTACGATGAACCCTGAGGGTTTATAGGAAGGGCAGGCTGAAATGAGTCTATGCAAATACAGTCATCATCACTCTATGGCAGCCCAGACGTGTTCTGTCTACTCAGGGAATCCCAGAGACTGAATTCTGCCACTCCAATTTGATAAAAGAATTTAAATACAATTCATCAAAGTCATGCTAAGAGAAATAAGTATAAGATGTTAAGAGACATTTTTTAATTGAGTTTTTTTGGGGGGTGTTTCAGAATTTATTCCATATATATGCTTCCCCTTCTCTTTACCTAATGGTTTGGGGAGGAGGGAGGTTCTGTAAAGTGTAACAGATGCTTCACTAATAACATCTTGCTTTGAGTTTTACTATAACATGTAAGAAACAGTAGGTATATTCTACTACATGTTAGATTATTTCCTCATTGCTCCTAGACTACTTTTTTGACTTAATTTCTCTTTCATTTTAATAAAAGACATCGTCCATTGATGACCAGTCGGATTATCTCTGTATTTGCAGGTCTTCTTGCATACAAGTGACTGAGTTTATTGTTGAGAATAGTAAGAGAATATGGATGCAAGAAAAAAACAAGTGGAGATGGATGCAAGAAAAAAACAAGTGGAGACACAAACTGCCTTAGCAGCCCTGCCATGGATCTGCCCCAATTCTTTCACATCAGGAAGTTGATTTTTCTGACCATTTCCATGTTGTAGATCCTTCAGCAGGTCTTATAGCTTTCCCGCTGTCGCTTGCGGCAGGGCTTCTCATAGTATCTCCTTCGCTTAATGTCTTCAATGAGCCCGTCCATGCTGAGGACTCTGTTCAGGCTCCTGTATGCGCTTTCCACGTTGCCATCCTGTACCATCACAGTCCTGGCAATGAATTTCAAATGTCTTGCCATGATCTTGGATTTAAGTCTTCACTCTTCTCTCAATTAAAAAAAACCACCAAACCAAAAACCACATGCACACAAAACCTAATTGAGATTTTAATGAAAGTTTATAAAGAACTTGGATTTGCATTCATTCATTGTTGCATGTTTTCCTCCCTGCCCCCCTAGTTCACTTTTCTTTTAAAAGAAAAAGTTCTTTCGTTGTTATAGTGTCCCCACCCACCCAGACCACTTTACTATGCAGCTCTTATTCTGGACTCTTGTCATGCCAATAATAACCTAATCATATATTCCTTTTATACAGTTATGAGATATTTTTAAATACACAAAATAAGATCTCTTCCAAAAGAGAAGTTGTTGAATAGATTTGAGGGGGGGTGGTATGTGTGCATGCGTATGTGAAAGATCTATTTAGGGAGACTACAGGAAACCTTAAAAGACTATCATAGTTTGAAATCTTCCTGAAGCAGACAAGAGCTGAAGTGCTTTGTAAAGGTGGGAAATGGGGATATTTTCTTTTGGTGTGTTAACTTCCATGCTTGTGAATCAAGTCTTTCAAAGTCATCCTACTTTCTCTGTATGGTCAAATTATTACACTGGATCCTTTCATTTCAAATTCTTTTATGATTTTCCCAGGAAGCTGCTGCTTTCTGCCTGAAGCCGTTCAGTCGGTTAAAGTTCTGGTTTTGATTCTGAAATAAACAGATTAATGAGTCACTACAAATCTGGTTGTGTAGTCATCTAGACAGATTCTAACAAAATCCAGCACACAGAATTAAACATCTCGTTGCTGGATTTACTGTCACTGCATTCTACTCTGGCCTTTGGCTTATTTTTATAACATATACCAATATGGACCATTTGAGGCATAATATAATAATGTTGAGTTTTATCAAGTCAATTCTGACTCAAAGCAAGATCATTGGTTAGAACAGAATTACTGGCTGGGGCTTCCTAGGCTCTCATTTTTCTAGGGGCAGATTATGAAGCTCCCTTGGAGCTACATGTGGGCTTGAACTGACCAACTTTCAATTAGCAGTCAAGCTTTCAACCTGTGTGCTGTCAGAGACCCTTAATAAAATAATAATAATGGCTATTATTTTGCTAAATGCTTAATGGATTTCACTAAAGCATGACTACAACCTTCCTGTTTGCTATCGTTATTAAACCAGTTTTAGATCTGAGGAAGTAAATATCCAACAAATGCAACTACCCAGTGTCACAGCACCAGAGAAGTGCTGAATGTGGGGTCTCAACCCAGTCCCTCTGGCCCAAGCACTTGTGGTCCTTCCCATCCCACTGCTCTTCGCAGGCACAGCTGAGGATTGTTAGAACCGCATATAAGTACAGCGGAATGTTCATGTGATATACAACACAGAAGGCTACTTGCTGAACATTTTCAGAAATTTATTGATGTCCTCTGAAGAGTTATAGCTCCTAAAATGGTCTTTCAGGTATATCATACATATGCTCATAGATGACAGTCAAGTGGGTTCTAAGCTACCAGAGTCTTATATTCATAATGTCAGCCGATATTAGAAAGACTTTATTGATCAGTGTACTCAATCAAGAACTAATTTAAGCTACTTATCCCCCTAAAATGTAGAGTAGTCATAGTAAATTAAAATATACATTTGGGAATTCAGAGTTACTAGATGCTATAGTCCATGAAAAACAGATGGACAGTTACCTCCTGTGTGATATACAGTCTTTGAAAACCACCTATGAGTCTTTTGAAGTATTACGTTGTTGTTGTTATGTATTGTTGAGTCAGAAACAACCCATAACTGACCTTCAGGTGGGTTTTTCAGAAGCAGTTAATCACATGGGA